GATTTAATACTCTAGCAAGACTATTTCCAGAATTATGTCCCCCTTGAACTTAGATTTTATTCGAGAAATTGGTATTTTTTACTCCAACTTCTTCATTCCTCAAAAGGATTATCGTAATAATATGACAAGTTGGTTAAACATAATTTCCTAATACTAGGCAGGGAAACTTAATACATTACTGTGATATAACAAACTTAGAACTCAGAAGATTTAAGTTCATTCATGTCATTCATTCACTGGTAAAATTGAATGGCCAATGGCCCATCAGAATGTTGCTGGGGTTCTAACCGGTAGGGGACTTATGGATTGCTTGCAATACTATGATAATTGCTTGTTTATTATACAATGATAATTGCTTAGATATATTTCATATTTTGTAGGACGATAACGTGCATGGTATTCATCCTTTTGATAGGGGTAGGGATCAATGGGTCAAGGTCACTTGTGCTAAAAATAGATTTTTACACTTTTGCCCAAACAGGCTTTATTTATTGGCAGGTGTATTTCATATTTGATAGGAAGATTACTTGCATGGTATTCTTCCTTTTGATTGAGTTAGAGATCAATGTGTCAAGGTCACTAGTGCTAAAAATAGATTTTTACACTTTTGCCCATACAGCCTTTATTTATTGACAGATATATTTCATATTTGGTAGGAAGATAACTTGCATGTTATTCTTACTTTGGATGTAGTTAGGGGTCAGTTTGGTCAAGGTCACAAGTGCTAAAAATATATTTTTACACTTTTGTCCATACAACCTTTATTTATTGACAGATTTACTTCATATTTGGTTGGAAGATAACTTGCATGGTATTCTTCCTTCTGATGGAGTTAGGGGTCAGTTTGGTCAAGGTCATCAATGCTCAAAATAGATTTTAACATTTTTGCCCATACAGCCTTTATTTATATTGACAGGTGTATTTCATATTTGGTAGGAAGATAACTTGCATGATATTCTATAGGTGTCAGTGGGTCAAGGTCAAGGTGCCAAGTTTTAGATTTCTTACATTGATATATATTTGATAAAGTTGAATATTTATCACTTCACAAGTCATAGCAATGACTTGGCAACTTATATATTTCACAATTAAAAAATGCCACGACTCGGTCAAGCTATATAACTTGGTTTACAATTTTTTGTAAATGTTTCTGTCCCATAACTGAGTGAATGGTAAACATTTTTTGAAAATATTGCTACTGACAAGAATCGGAGCCGGGGGCATTTGTGTTTAACAAACACGTTCTTGTTTATGTCCGATTAATTTTGCTTGCAGTTCAGGGAACAAAGGTCAAGGTCAAAGAAATTAGGCAAATATGATTGATTGATTGATTGATTGATTTTCTTTAGACCTGGCGGTCAAGGATAACTACCGAAAGTGCAAGCACTTATTTCCAGTAGGGTCCTTACCTCAACAGACTCTTAGAGACAGCTATGAGATACAAGGGAGTCCGGGAACCAGTCCCTAGCTCTTATTGATTCTTTTACATGCCTAGTGTAAAGAACTGATACATGCGAGAATTACCTGGGTTTCTTACCAGTAAGTGGGAAACACTGAAAGTGTCTCTGAAAAATCTAGAGCTTTTAGTTGATCCAAGTCTTAAAATGTAAGCTTTACTCACTCTCTTTAAACAGGTAGTTATTACTGATAAGCCATTGGTAGCAGTATAACACGAAACGCGCAGTCTTTTGGCATATTAATTTTTGTGTTTACTTACTTAATCAAAAAAATTCAAAATGCTACAAAACAACAATTTTTTACCAAAATTAGATGAAAGGCCACGTGATAACATGGAAAAACTAGATTTTGGGTAATTCCAAGGTTTTTCACCATTTTTTGTAAACCCTTTACCTCATATAGACGTGTTTTGACGGCTTTTCGACCCCCTCCCCCTTTTTTCGAGGCCTCAAACAGTGAAAAATTACCCTATTTTCACCCTGGATGAACAAGTTTGTCACGTGACCACACATGAAAACGCCGTTAACATTTCAGCAAACACGGTCGATTTCAGGTTATTATTTAAAGATATCTGACCTTAGGACCCGGCGTTAATTGAGCTTTTATTTTATGTAGGTAGTAATTGCGAGACTTAAGTGTTTTTTTAGAACACTTCGACACAAAATTTCTTTTTGCAAGGCAAACGTCAATAGGTTTTATCTTTTCTATTTTTTTTTTCACTGGACACCCATGTAGAGGGAAAATAATAGAAGATAAGTCTTTTTACAAGTAATTCTCGTCCCTAACTTATTTATAATTCCATTAGCAAGGTTATATTCGATATAAACCCATGTTTTTCCGCTTATTGTCGATTTTGCAAACGTCGTTTGATCATGTAAAATCCGCAAGTCTCGCAAATAAAGGTCATGGTCTAAAACAGAAAACACAACATTATTTTATTAGGGAAAACTCAAATATTTGCAACTTGACTTAAATAACCACCGGTTATATGTATTGATTATTTCTATCTGGAGATTTCAAATTTCAAGTTTGCTCAAAAGTGTTCATTTCATACCCGCGAAGTACTCCCCATGGCTAAAAATGCATAGTTTCAGCCAATGTATCCACTTCTTGAAGGCTCACGGTACGCTGATTTGGGCACAGTGATTAGGTACTGATGAATGGCAGATCCAAGTGCCTGTTGGGGTATTTCCGCCCAGCAAGGGAGGATTTCAAAAAGAAATCACATGTGGCAAGGTCTGTAGAATACGGGGCTGAGGCAAAACAGTTAATTTTTTCAAAAACGCCGAAACTATTGCGGAGGTATGAGCGGGGACATTGTCATGTAGAAGACGGATATGGTTAAAACCATTGACAGGGCGTCGTTTCTTATAATACTTTTTCAGTTTCCTAAGTACAACGTCTTTGTAATACTTCCCAGTGTTACTTTTGCCCTTTTTCACCGCCACCTTCATTGCGACTCCTTCACCGGAGAAGAAAATTGCATGCAAAACCTTCTTTGCACTCAAAGACCGTGTAGCAATTATTGGGTGTTTGTTGTGTTGAGTGGCCCAGATTTCTTTGCTTACTTTTCTGACGGGCTCAAAATAATGGACCCAAGTTTCATCACCTGTGGCGACATTGGCAAACTGCTTTTTGTAATATTTTGGAAACATTTGAAGCAGCTTTTTGCCAATCTTAACCCGTTGCCTCTTTTGCTCATCGGTCAACAGATGTGGCACCTATCTAGCAGAAATCTGTCTGACATTCAAAAGCTTCTTCAAAATAAAATGAACCGTTGATAATGATATGCCTACCTTTCGTGCAATATCACGAACTGTAAATCTGGCATCTCCGTCAATGATATCCTTTATTTTGGAACGAGATGCAAATTTTGGCCTACCTGATTTTGTTACATTTTTGATGCACTCTACACCAGACTCAAAATTCTTTTTCCATCGCCTAACTGTGTCATAAGACACACAAGAAGGCCCATAAGAAGTAGAGAGTTCAGTCATCAACTGCTTCAAAGAGCAACCCAGTTTTGAGCGAGCTTTGATGCAAGCCCGTATTTCATCTTTATTTGTCGACGCTTCTACCAACCATTTTTACTACAGTGGTCAATGACTGCGTGTATTTAAATGGCAAATTGTATGTCTTACATTTAGTCTAACATGTACATGTATACACTGTTGTGTAGGTATTGAATTACCCTATACAGGTATGAACTGGTTTTTATCGTGTCCCTCGCGGATCACGAGACAGAGTACAATAAGTCATTGTTCAAACGACGTTTGCAAATTAGACAATACGGGGAATAACATGGGTTTATGTCAAATATAATTTTGCTAATGTAATTATAAATGAGTTAGGGACAGAAATGGCATTTAAAAAGATATATCCTCTATTATTTTACCTCCGCATGTATTTCCAGTGAAAAAAATGATTTGAAAAAGTCGAAGTGTTCTAAAAAACTGCTAAAGTCTAGTAATGACTGCTAAAGTCTAGTAATTAATACTCACATAAAATAAAAGCATAATTCTATAGTCTATGTCTTATTTTTGTGCTCGCAGTGGAAAAAAGATAAATGTATCTGCAAATGATTACCTGAAATCGAGTCCGTGTGTGCCAAAATAATAATTCGGCGTTTGCATTTGTGCATCACGTGACAAACTTGTTCATCCAGCGTGATTTTGGACATGTGACAGACTAAAAATGGCCTGAGGTCGATCGTAACGTAACGTGTAACCAACGCTGAAGAGGCTTTTGCTACATCTCAATCAATTGAGAAGTTGCAGCATTTTGGTATCTGTTTTGATGGGAAAAAAACAATGCAAAATAGTGATTTTTGGCAATTTTAAGACGTCCCCCGTTGTCATGGTAACTTGAAATTTAAGATTAAGCATGCCGTTTACAGAGGCTATGGTCCAGTCAACATTTGTGCCAAGTTTTATCAGTATTGAATCTTTTTTCATAGTTTAATAGCAGTTTGAACTTGTAATAGGAGGCTTTTCAAAGAAAACGGCCATTGTTCACAGTATGCTCATGAGGTAAAGGGTTAAAAATTGAATGGATTGTTCGAGATTTAAAGATGGGTTATTCTATCAGGTTATGGTTTAAACAGATAGAAGATGCCGGATAAATACCAGTGACAATGGTATATAATTTAACTATTTTGGAGTAAATTTAAGATCGTAGGCACTACCCCTAACCGCCGCGTAATATTACCACGCGTGTGATAATTACTCGACGCTGAGAAGGTCTTGAGAGAAAAGGTTATAGACAGAACAGTTTTTTGTCATCCATTGTTGTGACCCATAGGGCAATAGTCTGTTCAGTGAAAGGGTCTCTTATTTATAGATTGGTAGGTCAACGAAAAAACAATGCGCTTCAGTTTATTAACAATTAGCACTACAATTGCATATACTTAAAAAACAACAAAACAAACAAAAGAAAAAACAAACAAACAAAAAAACAACAAAAAACCTGAGGGCAAAGCTAGGTTTATAGTAAATAAATAACACAATGTTTTAATACTTTTATTAATAGATCTTAGTACTCGAACATAATTCTATAAACATAATTCTATTTTGTTGTTTACAAAATCAAACAAACATTTTTCTCACTTTTTTAAACTTGCGCAAACCTGGCGATGGTAATTGACTAAAATATTTAAATGTTCTTCATCAATATCTGTAAAATTTTATTCTGATTCTACAGCGTTTTCATCACATAAGTTACAAAACTCCATATTTAAGCTTAAAATGAAATGTTATTCTGATTCTATAGCGTTTTCATCACATACGATTCAAAACTTTTATATCTCTGAGCTTAATGTGAAATGTTATTCTGATTCTATAGCGTTTTCATCACATGAGATACAAAACTCCATCTCTGAGCTTAATTAGGAATGTTATTCTGATTCTATAGCGTTTTCATCGCATACTATATATAGATCAATTTCTTAAAAACAAAAGATGAAGTAAGATAATGATTAATAGAAAAAATGAGACATGAGTTGAATTAATGTTTAACAAATCAATATTTCGTTTTTAAGTTTTAAAATCGGTATTTGAAATTAAGAAAACGGTTCAATTTTTCAAAAATTTAATGCTTCCGTTCTATCAGTTTCACGTGCACTCCATTTTGAGACCTCATGATAATATCTGGTAGCAGAACCGGCTCATTCTCCGGGTCAACCTGGAACTCGAACCTTAAACAATTTACATAAAACATATCATATGTGTAAAATATTAAATATCTTTTTGTTTCCTTGAGCAAGAAACTATATACACTCATTACTAAGTACTGGTTGGTTCGAGAGTGTGTCTATAAGCTCATAGCTACATACACAATCAAACTGAAATCAATTCTGTATAAACCATCTAATAATCATCACCATATTCATATTAAAATAATGAAAGAATATATAAAATTCTAGCCGCGCTTAGAGTGTTCGAGTGATATTATTTGGTTTCCGGTTTTGAAATCGTCTTCAGATAATTTATTGATTAAACAGAAATAGTTTTATGATTATGAACTTATTTTTTTATAAAAAAGATCGAAAATAAAAACATGTACCTCTTCACTAGTTTGGCAATTGTTATTTTGATTTCATTCATTGCAAAAACCTGTCCGATACAATTTCTGAAAGATGAACAAATTGTTGTTTTGTTTTTGTAAAATAATTTCAGAAAAAATAGAACAAGATCTTTATCATAGATATAGAATAAAGTTCTGCCACAAAACATAAAAATATGCATGTACTATAGTTGTTGCCTAATAAGGTAAGAGTCATTTACATAATGACTGAAAATATATCAAATATATGTGTGTTTCTGTTGCCTGCTTTGTCCACAACTCACTTTTTGTCACAATCATAATTTCAAACCGCTTGCCTTTCACCGCTGAAGGTCCGAGTCGCGGTAGAGTCATTCGGATTATATCATATGGAAAAGTTATCTAGCTAGCTTACAGAACGTCGGTGGTTCTACTCAGGTGCCCGTTTGTGCATGAAAAAAAGGGTCAAAGGCGCACTTGCAATCTTTCTCCACCAGTAAAGCTGGAAAGTTGCCACGTGACCTATACTGTGTTGGTGCGATGTAAAACCCAACAAAAAACCCCATAGACATCTCCTTTAGTTAGGTCAAATCACTTAATTAATCATTAACGATGAGATGCACTTATGCATTTTTCTACCCAGACAAAATCCAGACAAAACTACTTATGTATTCATAATTGATACGGAATTTTCAAAAGAATATACTGACGGAAAAGCAAACAGTGCATACCATGACCATTGGACACAGGTATGTCGGCTGTTGTGTTCTGAGTCGTCACTAGCAATGTCAGAGTGATTGGTTTTGGCCAAGTACATGGCTTTTACCTGCTACTATTTTTTTATCAATTAATGTGGATAACATGGCTATTATTATTATTATTATTATTTGGAAAATGCAAGCAATTAGTTGTTCAAAATAAAAATATTTTATATAAGTGTATGTATATTCATTACCTAGAACCAGCTGAAAATGGAATGAATCCATAAATATCTGTTTCATCTCTTTGGTTTGCACTGAATCTTTCTGGATCAAATACCTTAAACATAAAAGAGAGAGAAAAGAAATACTATTATCATAACATAATCACGTGTTTAAAGTTATTCATCCGTGTCTGGACATTCGTGTTTTCAAGTACGTATTTCTTATCAATAGTAAATGCATATGTCTAGAATACGAAACATAAAATTTTATTTTTTAATTATCTAGTCATATTTGATAGCATTTAAACCTTGGGCTTAGACGCACAATTTAAACAATTGAAAATGAATGAAAAAAGGAATCTGGAAAATAGGTGACCCCTCGGAAGTAATGAAAAAAAAATTCCAGACTCAATTCGATTCAATCTGTTATGAAGAAAATCGTAAAGTGGAACATCTTTCACGACCCCGCTTCCCCCACACCTGCACCAGCCTAAGCGACGAAAGCAACAAGAACTACAGATTGTTTAGAAATGTGTTATCTAATACTAACCTCATGATTCGGCCAAACATCTTTATTATGATGAATACAGTATATCTGTACCCAAATACTGACACCTACAGGAATCTCTATACCATCTAAAACAATCGGTTTGTCTGTTGCTCGAAAAATGGCCCCGGCTATAGTACTAAAACTTCCCTTAATAAAAAGTTGGTAGTATTGAATTTTTTAAGTTGTTTTTGAAATATAACAATTAATTTTTGATCCCCCAAATTCTACGGGGGAAGCTCGAAATGTATTGCTTATTTCTATCTAGAGACTTCAAATTTCAAGTTAGCTTTCATGCCCTCGAATGTCCCCGTGGCTAGAAATGCAAAGTTTCAGCCGATGTATCCACTTCTTGAAGGCGTCACGGTACGCTGATTTGGACACAGAAATAAGGTACTGATGAATGGCAGATCAAAGTGCCTGTCGGGACTTGTATTTCCGCCCAGCAAGGAAGGATTTCAATTTCGGAAACAAAAAGAAATCACATGGGGCAAGGTCTGTAGAATACGGGGGATGAGGCAAAACAGTTACCTTTTCTTTTTTCAAACACGCCGAAACTATTGCGGAGATATGAGCGGGGGCATTGTCATGTAGAAGACGAATATGCTTAAAAGCAGTGACAGGGCGTCGTTTCTTATAATACTTTTAAGTTTCTTAAGCACTACGTCTTTTGTAGTACTTCCCAGTGATACTTTTGCCCTTTTTCACCGGCACTTTTATTGCAACTCCTTCACCAGAGAAGAAAATTGCGTACAAGACCACCTTCTTTGCACTCAAAGACCGTTTGGCAATTATTAGGCGTTTGCTGTGTTAAGTGGCCCAGATTTTGTTGCTAACTTTTCTGACGGGCTTAAAATAATGGACCAAAGTTTCATCACCTTAGAAGGCATCGGCAAGCTATTTGGAAACATTTGAAGCAGCTTTTTGGCCACCTTAACCCGTTGCCTCTCTTGCTCATCGGTCAAAAGATATGGCACCCATCTAGCACAAATCTTTCTTATTTTCAAATGCCTTTTTATAATAAAGTGAACCGTTGATAGTGATATGCCTTCCTTTCGTAACTATAAATTTGGCATCTCCTTCAATGATATCCTTTATTTTGGAAACTATTTCGGTACGAGTTGCAGATTTTGTCCTACCTGATTTTGGTGCATTTTTGATGCACTCTACACCAGACTCAAATTTCTTTTTCCATCGCCTGTGTCATAAGGCACACAAAAAGGCCAATAAGCAGTAGAGAGTTCAGTCATCAACTGCTTCAAAGAGCAACTCAGTTTGAGCAAGCCCGTGATTCATCTTTTTTGTCGACGCTTCTATTCAGTGGTTAATGACTGCGTGTATTTAAATGGCAAATTGTATGTCTTAAATTTAGTCTAACATGTACATTTATACACTGTTGTATAGGTATTGAAATACCCTATACTGGTATGTAATGGTTTTTATCGTGTCCCACGTGGATCACGACATCGAGCACAATAAGGAATTCTTTCGAACAGCCCTCGTAACTCACCGCAAATTAAAGATGTAAAAATAATAAGTGGGTCGGTACGAAAAAACTCAACCAAAAGTGTGACACAGGCGCCGACGCCCGAGTAAGGAGAACAGCTCTCTTTTTTAAATAAACATAATAGTCGAACTAAAAATGAAGAAGGTGTCGGAAAACGTACGGTGATAAGCTGTCATTCCCTCCAATGATATTTCTGACTTCACTGAAAACCTTCTCTTGTAGGACTGGATGTTTAGCAAGAGCAAAGATTGTCCAGCTAATGGCTGATGATGTTGTATCATGACCTAAATTGTTAACGAATAGAATAATATTTTTTAAATAGCGTTTTGCACCTCTTAGAGCGCATGCATAAAACAAATAGGATATCCAAACCATAAAGAAAAATGGCGGCAGCATTTCCGGCTTGAACATATTCATATAATACCATTTTTCCCATAGAGCCCAGGAGTCAAATGTTTTGCTACATTTATACTTTTATATACATGTAATTTATATTTTCTGTTATTGTTAAGTTATGACATGGAAGCGGAAAGTTTTGTATGTACTACAAACATAATTATTACGAGATGTCCCGGGTAAATTTGTGTATATACAATTACATGTCATAAGTTGTACATATAATTATACTTATACATGTAGCTCTATCGTGTACACTACCATATATCTATATATCCATAATGAATATGAATATATATGCTTTTTATGACAAAAGCCATGATGGCCCTATATAGCCCCCCACCCCCGGGCCAATTTTTACCCAAGGGTTTTTATTTGTTTATTTGAACAGACTTGGTAGACACCCATAAGAAGATGTTTCATGCTAAACATCTAAGTTCTAGCTCATTGGATTTTTTAAAAGAAGATTTTTTAAGATTTTACTATACACATACAGTTAAAAACAATGACACCCCTGTCGCAGGGCCAGTTTTGACCCCGGGCTTTTATTTGAACAAACTTTGTAGATATTTACTAAAAGATGTTTAATGCTTAACATCTAAACTCTAGATATTTGTTTTTTTTTTCAAAGAAGATTTTTAAGTTTTTGCTATACACAAAAAAGGAAAATCAATGACCCCCGGGGCAGGGCCAATTTTGACCCTGTGGCTTTTATTTGAACAAACTTTGTAGACACTGATTGTAGGATGTTTCATGCTTAATATCTAACTCTAGCTATATGGGTTATTTCAAAGAAGATTTTTAAGTTTTTGCGATACACATAACAGGATAATCAATGACCCCCGGGGCGGGGCCAATTTTGACCCAAGGGCTTTTATTTGAACAAATTTGGTAGACACCCATTTGAACATGTTTCATGCTAAATATCCTAGCTCTAGCTCTTTGGGTTCTTTAATAGAAGATTGTTTAAGTTTTTACTATATGCATATAGGGAAAATAAATGACCCCCTGGGGCGGGGCCAATTTTGACCCCAGGGCTTTTTTTTGATAGACTTGGTAGACACTCACTAGAAGATGTTCAATGCCAAATATCTTAGCTCTAGCTCTTTGGGTTCTTTAAAAGAAGATTTTTAAAGATTTTACTATATGCATATAGGGAAAATCAATGACCCCCTGGGGCGGGGCCAATTTTGACCCCAGGGCTTTTATTTGAACAAACTTGGTAGACACTCACTAGAAGATGTTTCATGCCAAATATCTAAGCTCTGGCTCTTAGGGTTGTTTAAAAGAAGATATTTAAAGATTTTTCTTTCAGTTGCCATGGCAACCAGAGTTCTGCATGGAATTAAATTCTTTGAACAATTTTTAAAGGTGACCACCAAAGGAACATTCCTGTGAAGTTTGGATGAAATTGGCTCAGTGGTTTATGAGGAGATGTTATTTAAAGCAAAATTTACGGACGGACGGACGACGGACGGACGCCGGACGAAAAGCGATCACAAAAGCTCACCCTGTCACTTTGTGACAAGTCCGGACAAGCTTTTGTGTATCTGGCAACACACAGAAAAAACAACTTTTAATCAAAGGGCCATAACTCGGCCAAAAATCATTCAACCGGAACACCCATGCAATATGCGCAAGGACTTGAGCTACAGATCAATCCTATAAAGTTTCATTGAAATTGTATTAGTGGTATAAGAGAAGTAGTCCGGACAAACTTTAAAAATAAAAATTATTAAAGGGCCATTACTCTGACAAAAATCATTAAACCGGAAAATGCTGACAATATGCACAACTAGACTTGGTACTGATCATTCCTGTTAAGTTTAGATGAAATTGCACCAGTAGATTATGAGGAGTAGTCCGGACAAGTTTTGTGACGGACAGACGGACAGACAGACAGACACACGGTCATAAAACGCAAATTTACCCCAATATTAAATTCATAAGCGATTAAACATTTAACGTTTATATATATGACCTTGACATTCTTATCATAAAAAGATACAATTAGAATATTTGGCTGATGATAAGCACAGCAATCATTTGAAGCGCTACCGAAATAATTACAATTATTGAATTTGTTGTTATTTCTTAAATATCTTTTATATTTCAACACTGTACAATGAAGATTATTCACGTTTTAATACATTTATGTATATATACATGTATGCGTGTATTTTAATACCCTCAAATGTAAACGTATCGACTTCATCCTGTATTTCTTGTGCAGACAAGCCGAGCCCATGTTCATCTCGTGCAGTTAATAATATGTCTAAGAAATCCAGACGGCGCTTCCCAGTCACGTCATTCTGCTGCTTATCCTTAAATTGGAATAATATTCACTGAATACATTGTTGCTAGGTAACTATTTTAATAATATATCATATAGCAGGAAATAATATATATTCAAGACATTTCTCAAAATCTGTGGATAATATTGTTAAATCATGTATAGAAAGACATGTAGCAATACATGTACACAAGTTTGAGGAATAAAAATATAGAACAAACATTTCATCTTAAATATAAAACACTCCTGAATGAGTCTTGTTCATAGATACGCAGCTTTCCATAATACGTGTTTGATTAATGTCTGCAATTAAATTTTAAATAAAACAAAAATCGAGCGTAGGCTATTCCAATCAACTCGGCCATCTGAAGAGTTTACAGACGACAGTTTGGTTTTCAAGGCATCTCATTTGTATCTTTAGTAGAAAACTCATGAGAGTTGTATCAATGCAAGTTGAGTATTTTCCTGATAACTCAAGGTTATTGTTTTCTTGCATATTCTCTGAGGCAATCTAAAAGGTATAGTTTTCAAGGCAACTCAAATGGATATTTTTTGAGACAATCTTGCGAACGTTTTTTTTTTCTTTCAGGCAGCTCGTACAACGAGCAATATGAGTGTATCCGCAGTACAAGGTGAACATGTAGTCTCGGTTTGATTGGTTTTGATGAGGAGAGGAAATGAGAGTTGCAACATCTCTAACATCACAAGCACCTGACCCCACCCCAGCATCTGCTCAAGCGGTATTCGGTCAATATCCATTTAAAATATTAAAAGTCATTGATCCTAAAGGAAAAGATCAATGACTGTTAAATGACTGTCAAAGCCAACTCGATGACGTGCTTTCATGACTACATGGAAGCACCAGTTTAAATCAAAGCATAAAGTTTGATACACTACATCTCCACTGTCTCGCTTAGTTTTAGTTCTCTCTCTGCCAAATATATTTCAAAAAATGTTTAACAATGTTTACCAATTCTTTTCTTCTCGACTCAATGATGTCTCCTGTAAACTTATGAGCCTTGTCGCAAAGTTTGTAAAATTCTCTTCCAAGCGAGGAAAGGTTAAACATCGTATCCGACAGCAATGACAGATTTCTACAAACAAAATTCAATTTCATTATTTATGACAACAATCTGACAATAATCTGGCAACAATCTGACGGCATCCATACCAGTTAAATCATGTTACATTTGAATATGTATGCATTTCTTTCCTTCTTTTTCTTTGTTACTTCTTTAGATTTTTTTTGAAACTGGTTAATTATTTTCAATGTAAATCTTTATTAATCTTCATCAATTGTAATATAGAACAAATGTGATAGTAGCTTTTACTTACAGTGACCGTTCCCAGTTTATTTGAGATAGTCTTTTGACAATGTTTAAGTATTCGGAAACACTGGAAATAAGAGGGAAATAAAATAATATCACATGCATTAGAAAGCAACCTATATCGCCATCTACTACTCTTATATATTTTACATATTTGATTCTCAAAAATTTCAATTTCTATTGCTCTTGAAATAAGTAATTTTTTCTAAAATTTGCCTATTGTTACTAATTCATATTTATCTTTAACATTTCAAAACACTGTATTGCTAGTATTGCAAAACCAGTCACAGCAAAAATATTTATTTATTTGAAAAACAAATGAAACTATACACATTAGATATCATAAACTGGATCTAAGTTAAGTGCGTTCATTACCTAAAGATTAGAAAAACAGACTGCCGTAAAAGCAGTACTAAAAAGGACATAGCTTAGTCTACGTGTAGGTCGGCTCCTTTAGGGGTTTGGACGCTTGTGTATCCAAGTGTTTTTGCTCTGAATTGTAAGCGGTGCGTTTTGGTGTAAGTATAGTCCAATTAATGTTAAGGGAATTTCTAAGTTACATAAAGACATTTTTGTCACATTTTGTGTGGAAAAAGTGAAGGCATAAAGGAAGTTAAGCCACTGACTATTATTTTGCAAAATAAGTTCACTAAAGCTATAATATAATGTTTTAAAGCTTTGAGATTATATATGACTTGGTATTATATTTTGTGTGTTGTTTGGCATAATATACATGTTACTTTGATATTTTTGTTTAAAGTATTTTTCAGATAAACAACATACCTGGTACTCTGCAGGTCCTCGTCGTACGATAAAGAACAACGTAGCATGGTATCAAGAGAGGCCCGGCACACGTTCGGAAAAACGTCAACCGGTTCACCATTCTTCGCAGCATCTGTAAACGTTTTCTGAAAAAACCCACAACGTTTGCGCTGAGAGATCGGCAACTCATATACACGCAAGGCCAATGTTCTCCTTATGATATATTAAGTTATAAAATAATATACATTTGTAAATAAAGAGGTAATAAATACTGGAATGAGACCTGCTCAGGATTAATTTTCCAATAATTAATTCCAGTCAATGATGTATGGAGAAGCAGTTATCTTTTTTTCTGTTCCACACTTAGATATGTAATACTTACACTTTTAATGGTCAATTTTACGCTTGAAATTGTAAAAATTGCATTTTATAATGTGTCTTCAAATTATTGTATCATTGTCAAAAGTAACTACCCCCTAAAATGTTTAAATGACACACACTACAAACGCACATTTACTTTTATAATGACGCCACACTGATTTACCGTATGCAAACATGCACGATTTAATTTACCATTAGGATATCTGCAACGTTGTTCATTACGTTAACGTAGCCGTTCAGAATGTTGAAATGAAACGCTGGCGTCAGAAGCTTCCGGTTGCGTTCCCATTTCTTCCCTCCACTAATTAGTAAACCCTCTCCTAAATAGAACAAACATGTTATTACTGTAAGCATTGTAATAGAATGAAATCGGATTGGTTAACTAAATAACTTATGCATGTATAGTCTTATTCCAGATTTGTTATTATCATTATTACTACTATACTTATAATTTTATAAGCCGAACCAATTAGTCTCAATACAGATTAACTGGTAGAGGAAGACCTTAATTTAACCCTTTACATCATATAAACGCGTAACAACGCACTTTTGACCCCCCCTTTTTAGGCCTGAAATAGTGAAAAAATGTCCTATTTGGGCCCCAAATACATGTTTTCTTTTGAGAAATGTTGCTAAAAAGTGAGCACTTCTTCGGCGCCGCCCCCCATCCAAAAGATACATCCGGGGGATGTCAGAAGGGGGATGTGCCCCCCTTCTGTCTGAGGGGTTTGAAGGGGGCGGAGTCCCCCTCATCGCGAAGAAACTTTTGGACTTGTGAGAGGCTAAAAATGACCCCAGGCCGATTATAAGGTAACGTGTAACCAACACTGAAAAGTCTTTGACTCTATCTCAATCCCTTGAGAAGTTGCAGCACTTTGAAATAAATTTTGATGGAAAAAATCGAGGCAAAAAGACTGTTTAAGACTGAGTATGTCGTTACAAAGGCATTGGTTCAGTCAACATTTGTGCCAAGTTTGATTAGTATTGAAGCATTTTTCATAGTTTCATAGCAGTTTGAACTTGTATCAGGAGGCTTTTCAGTGAAAACGGCCATTTTTCACAATATGCTCATGAGGGAAAGGGTTAACTCAAAAAAATTTAAATGTTACAAAAGAACAATTTTTCACCAAAATTATGTGAAAGACCACATGTTAACATGGAAAAACTAGATTTTGGGTGATTCCAAAGTTTTTCATTATTTTTTTGTTAACCCTTTATCTCATATATACGCGTAACAACGCACTTTTGACCCCCCTTTTTTAGACCTGAAATAGTGAAAAAATGTCCTATTTGGGCCCCAAACACATGTTTTCGTTCGAAAGATGTTGCTAAAAAAAGTGAGCACTTCTTCGGCGCCGCCCCCATCCAAAAGATACATCCGGGGGTTGCCAGAAGGGGGATGTGCCCCCCTTCTGTTTGGGGGATTTGAAAGGGAGGCGGAGCCCCCCTCATCGCCAAGAAACTTTTGGACTTGTGAGAGGCTAAAAATGACCCCAGGTCGATTATAAGGTAACGTGTAACCAACACTGAAAAGCCTTTGACTCTATCTCAATCCCTTGAGAAGTTGCAGCACTTTGAAATAAATTTTGATGGAAAAAATCGAGGCAAAAAGACTGTTTAAGACTGAGTTTGTCGTTACAAAGGCATTGGTTCAGTCAACATTTGTGCCAAGTTTGACTAGTATTGAAGCATTTTTCATAGTTTCATAGCAGTTTGAACTTGTATCAGGAGGCTTTTCAGTGAAAACGGCCATTTTTCACAATATGCTCATGAGGGAAAGGGTTAACTCAAAAAAATTTAAATGTTACAAAAGAACAATGTTTCACCAAAATTATGTGAAGGACCACATGTTAACATGGAAAAACTAGATTTTTGGTGATTCGAAAGTTTTTCATTATTTTTTGTTAACCCTTTACCTCATATATACGCATAACAACGCACTTTTGACCCCCCTTTTTTAGACCTGAAATAGTGAAAAAATGTCCTATTTGGGCCCCAAACACATGTTTTTGTTCGAAAGATGTTGCTAAAAAAAGTGAGCACTTCTTCGGCGCCGCCCCCATCCAAAAGACACATCTGGGGGTTGCCAGAAGGGGTATGTGCCCCCCTTCTGTTTGGGGGGTTTGAAAGGGAGGCGGAGCCCCCCTCATCGCCAAGAAACTTTTGGACTTGTGAGAGGCTAAAATGACACCAGGTCGATCATAAGGTAACGTGTAACCAACGCTGAAAAGCCTTTGACTCTATCTCAATCCCTTGAGAAGTTGCAGCACTTTGAAATAAATTTTGATGGGAAAAATCGAGGCAAAATAGTGATTTTTGGCAATTTTTAAATTTCCCCTCATTGCCATGGTAACAGGAAATTTAAAACTGAGCATTTCGTTACAAAGAAAATGGTCCAGTCAACATTTGTGCCAAGTTTGATTAGTATTGAAGCATTTTTCATAGTTTCATAGCAGTTTGAACTAGTATCAGGAGGCTTTACAGTGAAAACGGCCATTTTTCACAATATGCTCATGAGGGAAAGGGTTAAGGCATGCCTTCGTGCATTATTTAATATAATTATACGCATTTGCCTTAATAGAGCCACCGACCTTCCTTTAGCTATATAGTAAGCATGGAAACTATCTCCAAATGGGAACAGCGAAAATCCCAGAAACAGAAGTCAGCCATAGAGATCCCCAAATTTTCAGCACATAGTATGTTTTATTATCTTACTTACCGTAACAAATAAAGATGTCACATTTAATTTTTCGCACGAAAAGATTCTTTAGATTGAGGCTTTATACATATATTTATTTCACTGTTTTGTGACAACCTATTTTTACTTTTTTGTAGACAGAAATATTTGATTTCATCCAAAAGATCATATATATGTAACTTGTGGAATAGGCCTACCTAGCCAAGGCTCAAAGAACCTGTAACCGTCCATGGACCCGCGAGCCTTTAGTGGCACCTGCTTTGAAAGCTGTTTAAACGTATCCGGATGAGTAATGGAAATGGACGGAAAAGGTCCAAACCAGAGTAAAATAATCTTCCGGTTTCTTTCGTTTGTTTCTTTCAAGACTAAATCAATATATGATTTAGAGTCCTTAATCTGAAACAAAAATGATATGATTTATAGTATGGGTAAATGTATTTAATTACAATATAACAACATAAACAGTCAATGACAATAGTAAATCTTTCAAAATTTTAACATAAAGTGATTGCCATTGAAATACAAGATTTTTTGTGCTCTTGGCCAGTGAGTTTGATGAAAGTGCATGTTTTACAATATGGAAATCTAGACTAAAACAGTTGAAAAGGTCCATAAAGTATTATGTTAATTTTCAACACTATAATTTAAAGAACCTTACATAGCAATGACAAAATCAACGGATTTTAAATATGCTTATATTTGTATGTAAATCTTATGTTCTCAAGCATATTTTATACATGGACGATAAAATTATTATGATTTAAAAACCTGCTAAGTTAGTACGTTTATTTAATATAATTTATACAAAGAAATAAATAACAAGGAACGGAATGAGACTGACATAAGATGCATTTATTTAAAAACATAAAATAAGTAAAATCAACAAAAACACCAAAAACAAAATAAAATAAACCCCGAAAAAACAATAAATAAAATTATTACGTTAGTACGTTTATTTATATAAGAAATAAATAATAGGGAACGAAAAGTCAAACTTCTTTTTCAAAATTGGTAGTCAAAGTGTTAAATAGATTAGATTGTAATCTGCACTGATTATATAAGACTGATGTAAGATGCATTTATTTAAAAAAAAAAATACAAAAATAAAAACACCAAAAACAAAACAAAATAAACCCCGAAAAACACTAACAGATATAGCTGTTTGATAAAAAATACACAAAAGGTAATATCAGCTGAGTTATTTAAATCATATTTAATCTGTAAACACCAAGCATTTACATAGCATCTTTAACGCTTTAAGTGCATGGGGAGGGTGTGTAATTTACTGACCGGTCTACGCGCATAATATTTTATTTGTAAACACCGTACATTAAGATGGAGATATGTGCTACTTATTGACCTGTCCACGCGCCGTATATTGATTCAACAACATTCGCTCTGTTTACAAGGAATGCATGTTAATAGACTTACTTGATCTTCGCGCAGATTTCCAATCAACCAGTGACCCGGAACGGTAGTGACGGACAGTTTTCGTAGCAGACGACAAAATCTCAGATATTTGTAACAAATATATCCAATCTTAAACAATATCAATACAACTATGCCTATAACCAATGTAAATATTAAGTTCAACATAGATATTTGATTCCGTTTATCTATATGTAATATGTAAATTTAAAGACGGAATGGTTTTATAAATTAAAGATAATCTAACACACATTATTCTTAAGCAATGTTTAAAGAATTTTATCCAACACTACTTTAAGCCACGCTCAATTGTTTGTGTAGTTTGTTTTGAACTGTATGTTAGTTTCATATGTAAACACTCGCGTGTATACATATTTTCTCTTTATCAGTTAAAATGAGTTCACGCCAGATGAAGACAAGAAAAGCATTGATGCAAAGCATCAAAGGGCGTCCAAGCAAGAAATGCAGCAAGTGAAGATGAACTAGTACACATATGATGACAAGATATTCTTATAAACTACCAGAAATGTATACCACTTATGAATGAGCGGACGAAAGACATTGTTCATTATGAACTTTGATTGGCATGCTAGAGATTAGAATATTACTTGTTATTTCTTTATGATCGTGGTTATTAATAGCAACGGATATACATGTATGCAATCATTTATAATCCATATGTGTAACGCATGATCAACACGTACCACACATTTGTCCCTTATTATGTACATGTTATCGCTATTAGCGAAGACCCCCTTAAGGTATCTGTTCACACTTTAAGTTAGTAAAAATATGACACTTAGTAAAAATATGACACTGGTTATATTACCATGTTGATCATGTTGAGCATAATTGTTTATTATACAATAATTGTAATATCTATTAATTTTAATTTAAAAAAAAAATACATATTTTATGAATATTGTTTTCTTTTATTCTTTTTTGTGTTTTATGTGCTATATTAATACTGAGTTTTTACTACTCTTTTTTATTAAAATTGTAAAATAAATTTTAAGAATTCAATTGTCATATTGACCGACGATTATAAGTAAAAGCTTAACTGGAAAAAGTCAGTAAATTATGGTTTATCTTTCAATATATAATATTGTTTATTCTTAAACCATGTACATGTACATTGTATTTTTCTTTATCATTTTTTAAATTATCGATCAATTGAATAATTCATAAAATCTAATTTGTAACTTTGAATAATTCCTCGGCATCTTTACTAAACACGGATAACAAATTGAATAATTAAAAAAAATGTTTCAAAGTTGATAATGTCATTTTAATACCATAAAAAATGTACTTTTTTCTCAATTATTGTACATATCACGGATTTATATTACATATAAATCCGTGTACATATTTATTGTTTTTATCTCATATAGATAAAATGAAACATGCTATTGTTGTTTTTTTCCAATTGTAACGATATCAAACATCTACTCCAAAATCGGGAGAGACCGGACAATAAACGTGTGGTACTATTCGCCGGTCACTAGTAAATCCTGGTCAAAATAGACCGGGAGAGACCGGCATTTACCGATAGGAGTGATAAAAAGATATATCTATAAATAGGTTTTTGGAATATTTAGGTCATCAACTGATCATTCTAGGATACATGTACAACAATAACATACCATGACATGATAACCGACTGTGTACTACAAAATGATAAATAAAAAACCCCGAAGAGCGCGATTTATTGACGGAAAAGGTTATTTCATTTGTAAATGTTTGCATTGCGAAAATTCATTGTAACATATCGCGACATTTCATTCTTATTTAATAATCAAGCACCCTCATACCGATCGGAATTTTCGGCTTTTATTATGACCGACTAAAAGGCTCGAGAAGTTGCTGTCGCCCTTTCACAAAATCTGATCTCATTCCATAAGAGCGCCGCGCTTCGGCGCGGACGCCAACAACTCATAATGATTTTTTTACGACATAATGGATTTATAGAGGAAACATTTTAATAACAAGACTCATTAATTTTCGGGAGATTTTTGGAGGTTTTTCGTTAGTTTCCTTAATTTTTAGTAATTGGCAAGTTCGAATAATTTGTAGCTGTTATAATTAACTGATCTATTTATATTTTTTAATTATAAGAAACATGAGTTAATGAATCGTTTTTTTATTTTTTTAGCATTTTTTTCATTCATTATTTTGATAAATACATTTTTTTTCATTTTATGACCGTAACGTAAGGTCGTTCAATGAGCGATGAATAAAACATATTTTTAGCATTTTTTTCATTCATTATTTTGATAAATACTTTTTTTTCATTTTATTACCGTAACATAAGGTCGTTCAATGAGCGATGAATAAAACATATTTTAAGCATTTTTTTACATTCATTATTTTGATAAATACATTTTTTTCATTTAATTACCGTAACGTAAGGTCGTTCAATGAGCGTTCAATATAGTGGTCAAGTTTTGCAAAACATTATAAAAAATCATACAAGAAAACTAAATGCATGTATATATATTGTATTACAGGTTACATAGATAACCACCGTAGGGACACATCTGCCGATGTTTTTTAATTCAAAATTACACCATTTCTATATACTGCTCAAGTCGATGCTAGGGGGCGTGGACGGTGGCATGCATTTACCAATAACGTCCATTGACAGGCTCAATTAAACCTAGCCCGCAAAATTTTCAATTTTTCAATTCGGGTGTTCGTTGAATATCGGCTACTTGTAGTGTCTTCTTATAATTTAATTCAAGTACAAACGTATATGTTCATAAATCATAAATAAGACTAATATAATATAAGTATATCAGAAACAGATATCGTTTTTCGGTATATTTCTGAAAGGTATGTAACTAATGGATATGTTTTATCAGATTTAGCATGTTATTTTCAAATTGTACTCATTTATATACAATTGTAGATTTTCAATTGCAGACGATAAATTATCTTATGTTTAACAAAGCAGACGATAAATTAGAGCTATCTTAACTGTTACATTAAAACCAGTATGACTCAGTGATTATTCAAAGTTGCGTTATAGATTCTAATACAATTTGACACTATTTATAGAAATAACTTTTGTTTCAAAGAAACCTTTTTTAGAAAAATTCAAAAGAAAAGGTTTGCTTTGAGGGAACAAAGTAAATCCAGAGGATGTTTTCTGTCAATAAGAACATAGTGAAGATTCTCTGGCCCTTGTGTCATATAAATACATGTATGTCTGTTGATATTAGAGTGTTAGTAATCATGTAATAATTTTCACTATTTTACTTGTTGCCAGAAGTTGTGAATAGAAATTGGAATGTGGAAAACTTGCAAATGTACTTGAAAATATTTGTTCTTTTGTACGCAGATTATACTGTAATTTTTGCAGAATCTGAAAATGACTTACAAAATTTATTAAAA